ACCAGCAAACTTGCTGAGGGTGCACTCTTTTCCCTCATCCAAGTCGTTGATGATGCTAGAATAGGGGAAAAATACTTTTCTGGTGAAGCAAAAGTAAATATTCTATATGAAAGTATTTAAAGATATATTATAAGTTAATGGTTTATAATTTGTTCTTTTCTTTTAGAGGAACCCCAAGATATCTACTGGTTGGCCCAGTGTCTTTACCTAACAGCTCAGTATCATAGGGCAGCACATGCCCTTCGATCGCGTAAGCTAGATAAGGTAAGTCATTTTAGTCAAAGGCTTACTACTGTTCCACTTTTAGACCTTTGCTGCTAACCATGGTGACTTCTTCACCATCAGAGGATAAGGTTTATGGGAAAAGTAATTGAAAAACCTGCATGATGTAGTTTATCTGAACCAAGTATAGCCCTGTATTCAATTGGCCGGGTTGAAACTGTTGTCCCCAGGTAGGGCTACAGAAAAAAGAAGGGGCCCACATACCTATAACTGTAGCAGGTACAGGAAGGTGAAGTGCCACTTCGGGTGTAGTTGCTTTAATTGTCCTTCTGCTCTGCTAGTGAGTGGTGAAGGCGAGAGTGAAGCAAATGTCTTTTGAGTGTTTAGTAGTAGAGAAAGTGTTACAGACTTAGTAATTTTGGTCAGGAAAGATTTTTGGAGGTGAAAGGGATGAAGAAGCCTTACAGCTGAAAAAGGAGAGAGCAAAATGGAGTCTAGCAGTGTAAGTGAACATGCTTTCTCTTTATAACTAATATTTATGAAACTTCTCTTTCAGTTATATGAAGCATGTCGCTACCTTGCAGCTAGATGTCATGTGAGTACACGTTTTAACCTCTATTGTAAACAAACCAAACTAAATAAAAGATGCATATTGGGAAGATTAGGTACCTGACAGGCAATGTAGATGTCTATGTTCACTAGAATAACAAGTTTAAATTTTGTGACAGTTGATTTTATTCTTTAACCTTTAGCATGGTCGCCAGAATATCTATTGTGGTATTATTCTGAAGAAATCCAACTGACCTTTTTTTTCCAGGAAAGAAAATAGTCCTCTAATATTTTGTGGGGAAAAACTGTAAACAATTTTTGTCTCATGTCTTCATGTTTACATTTTTAATTGGTTGTAGTCTGACCAGAGGAGATGTGGTTTATGGTTGTATAAATACAGTTAGCAGCTTTCACAGGACAACTGAATCAGCTGGTAGATTAAATATAGAAATTTGAAACACATTGTGCTGCTTATAGAATACGATGATTGTGCTGTATTAAAACCTGTATTAACTATTTTAGAAGCATATCTGCTTCTGTGATTGTGTAATGCTGAATAATAGATTTTTCAGTAGGCCTTAACTTTATTTTTTGCATGTTATCAATGACTAGTAAAATAGTTGACTGCAATTGTAACATGACATGTGTCCAAATAAGACTACGCATGCATGAAAAACCTGCTGATAAGCAGTGGTTGATACAATCTGTACTTTTGAAATGTGATGCTGTGTTTATTGGTGCTTTATGTACAGATGTTTCAAATCCCAACCTTGTTTTTTACATGCGCACGGTTGGCTAGTATGCTGCGAAAGAACATCAGCAGGCCCTGGATATTCTTGATATGGAAGAGCCAATCAACAAACGACTTTTTGAAAAGTACTTGAAGGATGAAAGTGGATTGAAAGACTCTGCCACAGACTGGGAGATGTCACAATCCTCTGTGAGTGACATTTTTTAAACAAATATTTTTATAACTGAGAAAAAAAAATGTGTGAAGCCAGAAAGTGATTTTACAGTTCACTAATGTGAGGATGGGTTTGGTTTGCCAAAGGAGAGAACTACGGAAGTAGATACTGCTGCAAGAAATTTCAAATCAAACTCCTCTCTAGGAATGTAGCTATTTCAAACTTAATTTGGGTAGTTTGCACAGGCACTAGTTCCAAAGTAAGAATGACTGATCTCTGAGCACTTTAGCAGAGTCCTGGGGCTTATTAGTTGTTAATGCAGCTATACTCTTTCTAGTGTGTGGGCTCCTGAGGGAGTTGGTCTGTCTGGTTAGTCCAACGGCATAGGTGTGTAATTTGTTAACTTTTTCAGAGTAACTTGCTGACACTTCTGTGGCTTTCTGACTGAACTGAACAGCCATCTAGAGAGTTTTAGTTATTAGACATTTTGTCAGAACTTTAACTATGGTAATAATGATCTTTCACTGTTTCTATTTCTGAAACATCTGTGTTTTGGTTTGAAAACAAGGATATATTTTTTCTGCTCAAAGTAGTTGAGTCCATTGATTTGGCCTTTTTCATCTCTGCTGTGGTCATTCTTGTCTTGCCTGAAGTATGCAGTTTAATAGTCGAGAAAGAAGTGAATCGCCTTTTGAAGTGACGATTTCCCTATATTGAATATGAAGGGAATTTAGTAGAAATAGCTTAGACCTCAATATCAGAGAGCTGGAAAAGATAAACCCTGTCCTCTCTCTACTTATTTCAAGCATGTGTTCATTTGGCAGCAGATAACCTGATAGAGCATTCATTTGATTTTTTAATTTTTTTTTTTAAGATAGGAGAAAGAATATTTTGTTAAAAGACAGCACTAGAAAATCAGGTTCCATCATACATGAAATGCTTTTTACTTTTCAGGGAGCCCATTTGATTTGTGTTCAAAACCAAATTGCAAACATTGATTCAGTCTTTGACCTCCAGCCCTGCTTTTCCACCAGATCAAGAGTTCTATATGCCTTTTGCGAGGGAAGATTTATGATGCTTTGGATAATAGAACCCTAGCAACATACAGCTACAAAGAGGCCTTGAAGCTTGATGTTTACTGCTTTGAAGCATTTGATCTTTTAACGTCGCACCATATGCTGACAGCACAAGAAGGTTTGGATAGCAGTATTTCTCAAATACAAGTAAAATTTATCTGCTTTCTCAATATACCTCTTTCCTGGATAAAAATTAAAGCAATACTACAAGTAACAGACTTGAAAATGTTAAGAATAGAAAACATGTATGAAATGAGTGAAAAGTGTAATCTGGTCAAGTTTATGTTTGAGCTTTTTTTTTCAGTCTTGCAGCACGAAGAATTAAAAGAAACAGAGTAACCCCAGCTGTCCTGTTTGTTAGCTCCAGCAGCTCCCATGCTCTTTGCCCATGTTAAACAATGTTTTTCCTGTGATCTCAACTTCCCAGGCTTTGAATCCACCAAACCCTCCTGGTGTTAGCTTAGTTATAGTAGGCATTGCTTAAGATAGCATTCTGAATGGTCAAATTTGACATGTAAAGTAAAGAAAAATAGTGGTGTGTTATGTCATGTTTATTAAATTTTGTTTAAAAGTGTAGAAGGAAAAATAAGAATTCAGTCATTAATTTCCATAATTAGTAGTATTATCTGCTTTAGCATATCTGTACTGTTTTTTCTTCCTTGTAGTTTCGGGATGAGCATCATAAAATTCTTTGCATCTCTAGGTTCTTAATGTTGGATCTTGCTATTTCTTCTGTAACATGACCTTTTTTTTTTTTTAATTCACATAGAAAAAGAACTTCTTGAGTCTCTACCTCTTAGTAGACAATGTACAGAAGAAGAGCAAGAACTGCTTCACTTTTTGTTTGAGAATAAATTGAAAAAGGTAAACCCCAAAGCTGACTAGAAAGCTGGAGAATTGATTGAAAGTCTTGACTTCAGGTGTAAATTTTCTCAAATTACATTTATTCTGAACATTGGAATAAATAAGGGCTTTGTAGTTTTGTTTATTTTGAAATTTATGATGCAGCAGTTATCACTTTATGGGGGTAGTAAAATAGTTTTGTGTAAACTTATTTTGTGGTGTGGTGACAACTTGAAATTCTGATGCTTTTTTTCTTAGCTTCATTTCTTGAGAAACTTCTAGGTGGGGAAAAAGAACATTAATAATGTAGGTAAAATGTCAGTTACTTGAAAATATTAGGGTACAACAACGTTATTCCAGACTATTTTTTCTAAAGATAATTTGAGAGCACTGAAAGCCAACTATATATTGCTCAGTATTAATTTCTACAACCTACAGTTAAAATGTTGACACTGGCAAGCATCTTTCATGTTCTAAATGAGCTTTTAAGTACATTATAAAGAAACATTTTACCAAATACATGTTTTATGGACTTTCAGTTTAAAACTGAGAATTTTAAGCTTAATACTTGAATATTCTTTTAGAACTAAAAATATTAATATCCATATAAAAGGATATTATATATAATTACCATCTGATTTTTTATTTGATTCACATGTTGTTTCTTTTGTCTTTCAGTATAATAAACCCAGTGAAACACTGATTCCTGAATCAGTAGATGGTCTTCAGGAAAACCTGGATGTGGTAGTATCCTTAGCTGAAAGACATTATTATAACTGTGATTTCAAAATGTGTTACAAGCTTACTTCTGCGTAAGTATGCAAAGCAACATTGAGTGTTTGTTCTGATGTGGTGTAGTATAATAATTGTGCCTGGACTTACAGTTAATATCATCGTTCAATGCATGGACATACATATCAATTTGATACAGAGTTTCAGGTATTTAAAATGTGTAGCTTGTGTCTGGCAAGACACATCACTTTTATGATACACAGTAGAAGTATCCAAAGCAAAACTCCAGTTAATCAGCACTGTGTGGCACTTCCTTTCATCCATCCTCTTCCTTACACTGCTGCCTTCAGTTTTGTGTGTTCTCTACTTACCTCTTGTTTGGCCTTCAGAACAAACAGGTTTGGATCAGTTGGTCAGTTAGGAAGTAAAATTTCTCTAGCTGATTAAAAGCTATGTTAATTTTGATGCACCAAGTATTGTGTCTCAGTTGTTACGCAGTCCAGGCATACACTGCTGCTCGGTTGTCAGAACAAAAACATAGATTGCTTCTCAACTACTGTAAATCTGAACACATGGTTGTGAAACTTTTTTTCTGCTGGTTCTGACAACTACCTTTTTAAGAAAACTATTTTTGTGTATATACTGCATAGTTTCAGAATATTAGTAGTATAAGAGGGAAATGGTTTTGTTTTTCTTATAGTACAGTATTTTCTTAGCTGAAGCAAGCCATTACTGTGTAGAATATCCCATGGAACCCAGTACATGCAAGATTTTGGAGAAGGTGTAGAGAATGCTGATAGGGTGAATTTGAACATCTGAGTAAAATGATGATCCTGTTGAAATACCTTACACCAATTAAGTCAATGCAATTATATTATTGCATCTTTATTTCTGAAACCTAATTGCCACACCTTGTTTAGCAGAAAATGGTGGGAGTAAGTATCTCCTAAGGATGAGACTGTCACAGATACTAGAGCTTGGAAATGAGTCTGGCAAGTCCATATAGCTCCAAAGTTTTAGACTCTCTTCAAGAGAGCATTTAATGTACTTGTTTTTATGTTCTTTTATGCTTTTCACTTGAAATACTTAGAACTATTTAAAAATGCCAACTAAACTTTTAACTATTTCAGGATGTACTTCCCAGAGAATGGAGTCATAATGTACTTCTGATTTAAGAGATTCTGTGAATAGTTATTTCAGGACATCTTTTTTTCCCTGCTTCATTTACCAAATCCCAATGTTTACAAAAAGGGAACGTGTAGAAGCTGTGTCCTGCATGCAGTCTGTTGTCTGTGAGACTATCTTCTGTTTCCAAATGCTGCAGGAAGTAAAAATTTAAAACTGAGCTAAATATTTTTCTAAGGCATACTGCTTATTGTTAAGCTCAGAAAGCTGAGGACTGTTGCTTGAAAGCTGCTGTCAAACATATGGAAAAGATTAACAGAAATGTTGTTGCTTGCTGTTTGCTGGTTAAATTTGAAGTGACTTGCAAAAACATGTGCATTGTATTCTGTTTTTCTAATTGTATATTCAGCTTGCAAGAATTTACTGTTATCCTCTTCTGTTAAGCTACAGTAATAGTTATTTTTCTGGTCTTAGGATATCATTTATTGTGCTGTTAGTAGTTACCCTCTAGTCACAAATAGTTTTCCATTGCCTGAAGTTGTAATTAACTGAAACATTACGCACTATAAAAGCAGCTTTTTTGTAACACATTAAAATTTTTGAAATGTGCATTGCAGATTTTTTTTTTTTTTTTTTAGAGTGATGGAAAAAGATCCTTTCCATGCAAATTGTTTACCTGTGCATATAGGGACACTTGTGGAGCTTAATAAAGCAAATGGTAAGAAACACAACGTTTAATATTAGTGAAAAAAAGATTGTAACACTTCAGTTTTAAAAAATAATTAAGGATGTCAAACTCCCTTATATACCATTTAAAAAATTACACATATTTTTCCTCTTGCCTGCAGTTTCAAGAAAACGGTGGTAACTGGAAAATAAGGGAGTTTCAGAGCTGACAGCAGCAGGGCAGGAAGTAGTTTTGCAAGAAGTCTTTATTCATACATGATTATGAGTATCACTGTCTTTTAACCCACTAGGTTATGTAGCCAGAAAGTTAGTGAGCTACACTGCTTAATTTCTGTTGTTTGATTTCTGTTTTAAGGTGATATTCATAGAATATGTAGGTATACTTTTTCTGCTCAACAAAAAAATAAAATATATTAATTAAAACTAGAAGGAACTCTTAAGCAGTGTGTATGCTTAGGTGGACACCCTTTTTCCGTATTAGAAAAAAGTCTAGACTCTCCTTGCCTTTGCTGTTGTGAAGGCCTCTTAGTTCAAACAAGTTAATAATCATGCAGGACCTTTGTTGAAATTACATTAGTAGCTTACTTGCAGCTGGGATGGCTTTTTCTCATGTCAGACTGCATGTAAGTATCTAAAGCAAATGAGGAGCTCGAATGTCTTTAAAGACAATTGGAAAATAGAATAAGGAGCTCTCGTGATTTGCAGTCTCTCAAAGGATGCTGCGTTGTACGTAAGCAAATAGGTCCTTAGGTGTACTAGTGCTTGTCAATGTTTAGTAAATGTACTTTTCAGTTACTTTACAGTTAACTACATCTGAAAATGTGGACAGTACTGTGATTTTTCTTCTAAGTCTTCCTTGAGATGCATTTTGTAAATAAGTTGATATTTTGTAAACCAGTTTTCATATTTCATTTGTCTGAAGCCAAGAATTGATGCAAAAGTACCCCAGGACAAACTCATCAATTTGAGAGCACTGTACTGTGAAGAAATAGAAATTTTATGTACTGCAATGCTATTTCTTTTGAAATTGCATAGGCAATAGAATTGTTATCCTATATCTGATTACTTCTGCTGTTATTAGAAAATCCGTAAGTTTTTCTAATAACTAGAATTATTCTTTTTATTAGAAAAGTAATCCAAATAATATAATCATATTTGGTTTTGTCTTATTTTCAGCATATTAATGCACAGGACTCTACTTTGAATTTGATGTATCCAGTATGTCATACATTTTAGGTATAGGAGGTTCAATAGTGTTTTACCTTGACAAGATACACTGAAGTCTAATACTACAGGCATTTATTATAATGTATGTTAATGACCCAAGTTGTTGCTGAATTCTTAAAGGCTAGGATGTATAGCTGCTTATTTATATGTTGTGAAGACTTATGCGTTTGGGTTTGGTGTTTTGGTTTTGGGTTTGTTGGTTTTTTTTAGTTAATTGCAAAACAAAATCTATTTAGAAGCAGTTTGAAGCATTACCACTAAACAGAAAGCACTTTTGTTCCCTGGTGCATTAATAACGTTAGACGTTCTGGATATTTTTTATAGAAGGTTAAAGGGCTTGAAACACCTTAATGTTTTAGCATGCACATTTTAATTTTCTTTTCTTGTTTCTTCCCACTATGTAGAGCTTTTCTATCTTTCTCACAAACTGGTGGACTTGTACCCAAATAATCCTGTAAGTTCTAAGCCTTCATTACCAGATAGTTTTTACTAGGTGAAAGCACATAAAAGTTGTAATGTAGTAGTCAGTTTGAGCAATAGAATTAAAGATCAATTTCTGGATGTAGCTAGTAAAAATGGTTAACTCATTTTATTTTCTATGCATTGTAATTTTCTTGTACCAAGGTGTTTTTTTTTTTTAAAACAAAGTACCTGTAAAATAATGTGAGGTATTCACTTTGAATAATAATTGAAAGCAAATGGAACAACTGTATGCCTCTCTGGGCATCCTTTTCCAATGTTTCATCACCTTTGTCGTGAAAATTGTTTTCCTTTACTCAGCCTGAATTTCCCATGTTGCAACTTGTACCCGTTGCCTCCCGTCCTGTCACTGCACCTCTGAGAAGAGTCTGTCTCTGTCTTCCGTGTTCCCTACTGTTAGATAGTTGAAGACAGCAATGAGCTTTACACTTAGCTCTCTCTTCATGAGGCTGAACAAACCCAGTTAGAGGTGTACATGTCAGAAGTTCTGGGTTGTCTGTAACATCAAATAATTCGAAAAGCTGACTGTGATTTCAGTGCAGATGTTCCTGACTTCTATATTTATAATCTGTTCCTCTGCTTTGCATCACCTATGGTGATATTTCACTAAAATCAGTGTGATGTATCTAATAATACTCTATTTTGATTTTAATGTGTAGGTATCATGGTTTGCAGTAGGATGCTACTATCTCATGGTTGGCCACAAAAATGAACATGCCAGAAGATATCTCAGGTAAAGCTTTTTTTTTTTCCAGTTTTCCTTAGTGAATCTGTTGCTTACTTGCTAAATCAATATTTAATGTTCACAGTTGTTTGTAAGCTTATAAAGTAAACAGAAGCCTTGATAAACTGGTTACTATGAAAATATTCCTTTTGTTGACACCTTTTTTTGGTGTAGCAATTTAGACCTCAGCCATCTAGATACTTTAAAAATTACACACAGACTTACGTGGAATCTCTTTTGGCAGTCATCTTCCTGTCGTGGGCAGGTGGAGTCCCTGCATCGCTCATGCTGCTGAGCTAACTACAGCTGGGTAATCAAGCCTCAGTTCTTAGTTTAAGGACACTCAGGCGTTCTCCCAGGTCCAGGTTTCATACCTTAAGGGAAGGAGATAGATAGAAAACTCTGACATTTGGCTGTCTTGTTCTTTCTTTGCACAAACAGCCTTGGACTTAATAGGTTGGTTAGCCAGCCCAGTCCTCTTTCCTGTAGGTCCTCTGTATGTGTATTGATACCAGCACTGGGGAACCAGGACCTTTCTGTGAAGTAGGACATTTGTTTTGATGCTGTAAGCTTAACTGAGAAGGCTTAAATCAACCTGTAATACTTCCGTTTTTCTTCTCGAGACCTTTATAGACAATATGTGTAAAGATGGGTTAGTAATTTACACTGTTTAAATGCCTGGTTATTATGAGTAAACTATTTAAATTCCTGACAGGTACCAGTGTGAAATTCTTTGAGAAGCTGTCCTGAGTGACATAGATGGTTTTGGTGGTGAAGTAAAGAACACCTTTATTAAATCTGCAAGCATCCCTAGCCAGAAAGGGTCTCTAGATGTATTAGGTTAAAAAAAAAAAAAAAAATCAGAATTCAGGGTAGTTCTGGCAAAGAGTAGAAAAGGCCAGGTAAAAGTGACATAGTAACAAGATGCCCAAATGTCTTGGAGAAGAGTGGTACTGCACAACTACAAGTCTAGGGACAACTGTGGGCTAGACAGTGATTTTTAGAAAAGGATCTGGAGGTACCATTGATAAAAACACAAACTCTCATATAATTGTTTTGGAGTCACAGGACGTCATGGTGGAGTGTGCTGAACAGGGTAGAAGGGACAGCTGGGCATTGCCTGGGAATGTAAGGGAGGTATCATTCTGTCTGCTCCAGAAGGAGCTATCTGCATCCTTCACATCTTGCAAAAGGGCTTACCTCATCTGTTTACCTCTACCACAAAACAATATTTGTGGTAGAACATAATCCATTTTTTATAACAATAATGAAGCTGTATTGTGATGTGTCGCTGTTGACAAGTCAACATGTGCAGAGAACTCAACATGGATGTAAGACATTTGAATTGAATTCAAGAGAAGGCAGTAAACAGTCATTCTGGAGAATATGACCAATGAGGAAAGTTTTTTGGGAGTGATTGAAGCTGTGTAGGATGTAGGGTGGGAAGATACAAACGTTCAAACATGTAAAGGTTTGTCCCAAGACACAGAGAACAAACTGTTCTTTAGGATCTGTGATAAGAAATAATGAGTTCAACTGTGATGAACAAGATTTAGATTAAATGCTAGGAAAAAATTAAGTGTTTAAGGATAGTTAAGAAATAGAATACATTACTTGTGGAATATGTAGGATCTCCATGGCAGAAGCTTTTAAGAAATGATTGCTCAAATCTGTCATCAGCTGTTTCATTATGAATGCCCTTGCCTTCAGACTGAGAAAATAACTTACAGAGCTTTCTAATGTTCCTGTCAAGTCCATCATTCTGTAAAGACTACAGGTTGCACTCTTGATGCTCAGGTTGCAGCCTTCAGTTCAGGACTCGAATGACATTTTGTATACTCCTCTGGTGCATGGCAACTGTCTGCGATGTGCCAAATAAATATTCCGGTCTTAAAGGCAGTATAATTATATGGCAACACTTCTACACACAGTTCAATCCAAGTGTTCATTTGGTATTTTCATATCCTGGTTATGAAACTTACATGTGGTAGAATATATTTATTTTGAATTGTATAGCTAAAATTTTGTAATATATTATAAGTCACTACTAATGTTTTCTGTATTTTGCCCAATTCACCTATTATATAGTTGTTTAAGTTTGGTAATATCAAATAATTCCTGAAAAAAAAAAACAGCAACGGAAATAATACAATGAATTCTTGAAAATATGTGATACTTTTAAGTACTAATAGTTCGTTGAACTTTTAGAATTAACTTTGTTTATCACAGATTATCATTTTACTAGATACCTATGTGGCACTGCATTGCTATGTAAGCAGTCATCTGAAGCAGATTAAATTTAATTTCAGATGTGTTTGCTTGTGATTTGCTCGTTTTTAGTAAAGCTACTACACTTGAGAGAACCTGCGGACCTGCGTGGATAGCATATGGACATTCATTTGCAGTTGAGAGTGAGCATGACCAGGCAATGGCTGCATACTTCACAGCTGCACAGCTCATGAAAGGGTATGTCAAAAAATGTCATATTAAGAAAAAATAAAATTAATCCATAAATAATATAGAATATTGACCTATGTCCCTTTAAACAGTAGGAATACATTTCCAACAATTATCTGGTAGAGAACAAAGGAAATAAAAAAACTCCAAATAATTTCATTTTCTGCATTTAACTGCATTATTTGTGATTACTATTGTGATTTTATAAGTTCTAAAGTCAAAATTTATATTTAGGTAATCTATGTTCTACCTGAAATTTCTCTGAAATTTGTGAATCATGTTTGTTATACCAGCTCATAAACTCCTGTATAGTAATATCTTGAACAGCTGTTTCGTGCTGTGGAGAAGGTTGTAAAATGAGTAGTGGACTAATCATGTCATATTGCATATAAAACTACTGTATTTGATTGTACTTATTGGTAAATGTAATCCCTTTAATTATTGCTTCTTCCATATTCTATTTGTAAATCTATGAAGGAAACTTGGGGGAAAAAACCTTGGAACTAACTTAAGCACTGAGAAAATATGTGTTATTCTAGAGCAGCCAGAGCAGGTTACAATTATATATTGGAGTTCAAATTCTTGTCAATAACAAACACAGATGTAAAGGTCTTTTAAAGGGTCACCTAGGTTAATAGACCATTTAAATCATCTCTTACTTGGATGGACATAAACAGGCATTTCTTTATAGTTTGTGACATCATTCCTAATAAAGTGCATTTTTGGTTTTTTTCAGGTGTCATTTGCCGATGCTCTATATTGGACTGGAATATGGTTTGACCAACAATTCAAAGCTAGCTGAAAGGTTTTTCAGCCAAGCTTTAAGCATTGCACCTGAAGATCCTTTTGTTATGCATGAAGTTGGAGTGGTTGCATTTCAAAATGGAGAGTAAGCTTGCAAAATGTGATTAAATACAAACTTAAACATGGATTATTCTGAAGTGTAATGTGCCAATGTATCTACTAAAGTACTTACATTGAACTAGAGAACACGAAGTTTCTTTTGGTTCTAGTTAGATGGCGTTTACCCTAAAGCCTTGCTTTCTACATTGTTCTTTGTTGTTTAAGATTGAATGAGGAAAGAATTTAATGCTTGAGGAACATGCAGGAATAGATTATTATCTTGTATGTGCCTGTCCTTGGGTAGTTGCATGCCTTGAAAAGGCATCTGTCTGCGCACAGAAGTGCACATGTGCTATAAAATTTTGTACAGCAAAACATTTTGTCTGCTCAAGACATTCCAAATATATTCTGAGAAAAACTGAACAGATATAACTGTTTAGTGAATATTCTTGATCTGCTTCTGATTTTTTTAATTTTGTCTTGTTAGCTCTTAGGAGCACATGCAAAATACAGCAAATCGTAAATTACTCATTTTTACATCTAATTTCACTAATACAACAAAATAATGTCAAAGAACTGTTCCTTGTAATAGTTCTCTCATACTGCTAATGAAAATTCTTCACTAATGTACTTTTCTTCCCCCCCCACCCCTCGCTTTCTTAGCTGGAAAACTGCAGAAAAGTGGTTTCTTGATGCACTGGAAAAAATCAAAGCTATTGGAAATGAGGTATTTTTTCCTAATAACATGCACAATCGTTACTATGTCAAATTCCAGGAAATTCTGTAATATCTTGTGACAACATATGTTGTGCTTATTTTAAGATAGAAGCAATACAATATAAATTTGACTTTAAAATGTAGACCATCTACTTGTAGTTGAGTATGTTGGGTTTTTAGATGAAAATTATCACGTTATCTTCAGTGCTACTGGAAAAGGCAAAAAATATGTTTCTATATTAAATTAAAAGAAATCAAGCATTGATTGGAGAGTGGAATCCACGTCTTATTCTCAGTCTTGGGTCTTAGTAGACCAATGATTCTTGACCTGAGAGTGGAAGTGGGTATAGGTGTGAAGATGGTTTTCTGCCATCTTAGGTGTTAGCCATTTCTTCAATGACTTCCACTTTTGTTTGGACATAATACTGTAGGTATGGATTTGTTTTCTTTCTGTCAGATAGAGCCACTGTGTGGGAATGGTCCCAGAGTTGCTTAATTTTACTTCCTGAAAGTAATCAAAATAATCCCTGGCAAAGAGTTTGTCAGGAAATGTGCTCGTAGCTCAGGTGCTTTTGTGAATCAAAATCAACCATTACAACCTTCATTCCTCAACCACTGGAACACACAAAGGAGTTTGTGCCTATTGGTAGTACTGTTTATTTTATTTGTGTGTCATCATCTTGTCTAAAGAAACACATTGGACTAGAATAACTTAAAAGGCCTTAATGAAAGCAGTACCACCTTGTGCCAGGGTTCTTGTGAATTTTAAGATAGGTTTTCTCAATTTTTAGATTAAATGTGGTTAATGAGGGCACCACCTCATGCTGCTATAATTGTTAACAAAGCATCTCCTATCAAGATAATGAAAGCACAATAAGCCTGTGAAGTAGAAAGCGCTGGAAGAACTATAATCTTGTGGACAAGGCACACATTTACTAAAACAAACTGCACAGATGCCAATTTATACGCTCACCAATACATAGATTGGGTTGTTCTGTGTTAGATAAAGCTGTATTGTTGTTCATGCGAATGCCACAGACTTTGTAGATCAGGCTTAAATTTATGTATATGCCTAAATTCTTCTACGTGCAGTATTTTTCTTGTTTATTGAGAAGTACTAAATATCAATGTGTCCACAAACACACAAACAGAAATTTAAAACTAGAGTGGGAAATGCATAAGATAACTAGAGATACGGAGATACTCTTATGTTGTTGTAAGTCGCAAATTCATAATGCAATCAAATCCAAATTATTTTTAATTTCACCAAAAAGCATTTAAGGATTTTGTTGGCTCACTGACATCTGTGTGTCTTGTAAATGAGCTAATTTATTTAGAGCAGGTGAAGTTAGACTATGGAGAAGACAGTGAAAAGACCTTCAGTATTTATGATTATTTTACAAACACCTAATTGGGGGGGGTCTTCAGTGCTTCTAGGCTGAGAGACTTGATGAGATTTTTGGTTAAGTAGAGAACAATTTTTTTTTTGTTTGCTTCCAAGTTTTACTGACACTGACCCTTTAAAGAAATTTAATCAGGTTTGGGGAATGGTAATACTAGAAAAATGAGTTATTGAATAAATGTTTTGAGCTTAAATATGTGTTTTGAAAATAATTGAAAATGCTTGTGATATTTTTCTTGGTAATGAATGAATTGCCTTGTTCATTTTTATGGTTTGTTTTGGGTTTTTTTTGAAGTAGATGGTTGAGTTGCAATCTGCGAAGCTGCAGGTATTTGAATTGTTGCATTATTTTGCAGGTAACAGTTGATAAGTGGGAGCCTTTACTGAACAACTTAGGACATGTCTGCAGAAAACTCAAGTAAGCAGAGAGCACTGGAGCTACATTTATCTGGAATACTATACAAATGTGTTTTCTCTAGGCCTATTCTCATTTATATCAAGATTATGTACCACATGAGAGCAGTGTAGAAGCACCGTATAAGAAGAAGATTCCCTAAATCAGCTTGTGAACATAAATGCATTAATCACCCCTTCTAGTCAGTTTGCTACACGCAAGTTCAAGTACTTAAAATAAAAGCCTTTCCTTAACTATTGATTCTTAATAGACAGAAATTTGATCATAGGCTTTTAGATCCTTGCATGGCTCTGAACTCTAACTGGCTACTGTCTCAGTCCTGCCATACTTAAGTCCATGGATTTAATGAACATAAAGGTGATTTTGTGCCGATTAATTGCTTGGCTCAGTGCTTATGTTTTTTTATTGAGGGAAAATATTCAGTGACATTAACGTGACAATAAAATACGGTTTTTGAGAACAAACTCTTTCATATTTCATTTCCTATTCCCATTCCAGGAAGAGAAAAACGAAGGTGCAAAGTATATATGTAAGCTTTAACAGTTTTAACATAGAGAAATGTTTTCTCTTTAATTACCTTAATCCGATTTTAACCAGTGTTTTCTTTTTTTTAATTGGTAGGATATCTATTTTTTCAGTGCCATGGTGTTAATTGTCCGTTGGTGTATACTGTAATTTTTGTTTCAAAGCTGCTAATGAGAATATGATTATGGTAGATACAAGTTGTACTTCTGCTTTGGCCTTGGTAGTCATTGCTTTGTGCTTGAATTGCCAATTAGTCTTCATTTTCATTATGAAATATGGATGTATAATAGTTACCCCTTTTGCCAAGATCAAACAAAAGGCACTGCTGCTAGAATCTATTCATGAGTATAATTGCAGGGGTTTTTTTTCAAATACTTGTTTCAGTTACAGTTCCTTTTGTCTTTTTTTAATTTCTGCAATAAGTTAGTAATTGCTTACATCACACATAGGAACACTAGCATTGTATTATTTGTTCAGGTTCAGAAAGCTAACCTAATGTATTTCTACATCCTTGTAAACCATCTTTCAAGAAAATCAAGTTGAGAATTCAGGCAACTCTACCTATGCTTTGACCACTTTAAAAATTCTGTAATAACCAGTTCACTGGTGTTCATAATACATGCTATTGCTATTATGAAAAAACTTACTGAATGTATGTCTACTCACTAGCATTATGTGCTTGAAATTTAAAAGCAGCAGATTAAAATCCAGTGATAGGTAATTAAACAGGTAAATACTATGAGTGAAAATAAAAATCAAATAATGAGAAAGGTTTGTGCGGCTAGCAAACAGTTGCATCATTTTTCTGCCTCAGTTGTTACTTAATGACCTCTAACAACTTCATGAGTTGCTGTTTGCATAACTTCATTATAACAATAGACATTAAGATTTCTTCTGAGTAGCCAATTGCTATCTTTATTTTTAGGTAGCAATGGTAGTAGGATGTCAAATGTGACAAATTAATTTCTCAGAGTAATGCCATAATGTACATTTAATCCTTGTTTTATAAAATAAAAATGCAGTAAGCAGTCTAATTAATGGATAATTTTCAAAGAAAGGGTGGCTGGTACCTGAAAGAAATTGTGGATAAGTTTAAACCTTCTTTTCTGATAGAGAAGGTAGTAAAATGGAAGTAACAAAAGTACCAGGGTATGTAGCACTTAAGGGTTGTTCGGTTTCTGCCCAGAGAGCTTTTCTTACTTTGAACCATGAGTGATTTAGTCTTACATTGCTCCTTTGCTCCCCTGAGGAGGAAAATGAAAGCTACAGAAAGAAAGCTAATGTTACAATGAGCGGCATTAAACATCTAAAGCAATTTACCATATCAAATTGCTAAGATCATCTCCAAATGAAGCCTAGTTGTGGCTACTGGCAGCTGTTGTGCTACTTAAGGGGAACAGTATTTTCTCAATTACACTGAGGAAGAAAATTGTGAATATCTGTGAGTCTTTTGTACATTCTATTATGTTCAGAGTCTGAAGCAATAATTTCTAAGTTCTTGCGGATTGCGTGCCACTGAGCTAATAAAAATACCAGTACAACGCAATAGAAACACCTTTTACCCTGAAGCTTGTTAATAGATCTTCTGTATTTAACCCTGACAGGAAATATGAAGAAGCACTGGAATATCATCGCCAGGCTCTAGTACTAATTCCTCAAAATGCTTCTACTTACTCTGCTATTGGCTACATACATAGTCTAATGGGCAATTTTGAAAGTGCAATCGACTATTTTCATACGGTATGTAACTCGCTTAAAGTGCTGGTCACAGTCTGTTATTTACTGTTTCATTCTGTTTTGGTTTTGGAACAGAGAACTAGCATTTTATCCAGCCCCCTGATTTGTGTTTATTTTATAATCTTAATTTTTTTTCCAGTGTTCCTAAGTTTTCTATTGATTAGGTAAAAAACGGCCACTTTGTGAAACTTAGTACTAGGATCCTTTGTTGTTATAAATTAATTGAACATCATAATTGTCATATACATTTTATGTACATAAACTTCTCATGCAGCTGAAATGATTTAAAGTACTTCCAACCTATGCCATGAAGTAGAACTTTCACTATAAGTGCAACATATCTAACCGTTCATGATTTGTGAATGATTCTGTATATGTGTTCTTTTCTGGTTTTGTTTTTGTGCTTTGCTTACTACTTCAGCCAGTTCATATGACTATATTGTTTTTATTGTGCAATGTTTTGCTTTAGAGTGAAGTATATCAGTATATTCTGATAGCATTGTCAAACAACAAAACAACAAACTCGGAACCATCATGGACTTATGATGTAAATGCCTTTATTTGCTACTGAATACTTTTTTTTTATAGGCCCTTGGTCTTAGGAGGGATGACACATTTTCAGTCACAATGCTTGGTCATTGTATAGAAATGTATATTGGTGATTCTGAAGCCTACATTGGTAAGTCTTTAACTTATGTGACTCTTAAAATCATAGAGTCCTTTGAGAGGAGTCTTATTCTTACATCAGGAAAGACTGCCTACCATTACCTAGTTAACTTACAAAGTAGAGTATGTTTCTGTTTGGGTTTTTTTTTTTCTTCAATGGCTAAATGTGTCAGAGCTTATCAGTAATTGTAGATGACCACTGTTTTTTCATAGAATCATAGAATGGTCTGGGT